TCTCTGTTCCTTTCTTCCTTTCTTCCACTCTTATTGTTTGATGGTTTTCCTTAATGTTATAGTTGGATGTCTTTTTTATTTTTTATGTATCTACTATAGGCCTGTGGTCATCAAAAGCTCAAGGATAGCTTTCTGACTATATAACAGTATGTATTAACCTGCTGATTGCTCTATTTCACACATCTTCCTCCTCCACACTTTATGTATTATATAATTTGCATTATTTGTGTATCTCTTGATTGACACTCTGTATAGTTGGTTTTGCTACAGTTGTTTTAATTTCATCATTGCTAGGTATTAATTGGTCTACTACCTTTACTGCAGGTTTATTTTCACCGGTGAAAACTATGTAGCCTTAGGAATAGTTCCATCTATAGCAGTCTTTTTAATATATCCTGTACTGCTGGTTTGGCTGTTATAAATTCCTTGAGTTTTCATTTGTCTAGGAAATGTTTAATATCTCCTTCAAATTAGAGTAATAATCTTGCTGGGTAGAGGATACTTGGTTGAAGGTCCTTCTGTTTCAGTACATTAAATATTTCATGCCACTCTCTTTTGGCCTGTAAAGTTTCTGCTGATAAGTATGCTGATATCCTGGTGGGGTTTCCCTTGTAAGTAATCTTTTTTCTCTCTCTGGCTACTTTCTATACTCTCTTATCCTTAATCTTTACCATTTTAATTATGTCTTGGTGTTGTCTTCCTGGGGTTCCTTTTGTTAGGCATCCTCTGTGCTTCTATGGCCTTTGCTTCTATTTCTTTCCCCAGATTGTGGACGTTTTCAACAATTATTTCCTCAGAGACTTTCAATCCCGTTCTCTCTCTCTTCTCCTTCTGGTACTGTCTCTTATGTGAATATTATTTCATTTGGATTGGTCACACAGCTCTCTTACCATTCTTATATTCCTAGAGATCCTTTTGTTCTCTCTGCTCCTCAGCTTCATTGTGTTCCTGTTCTCTTAATTTCCATCTCACTGTTTCCTCTATTTGCAGCAATGTATTAATCATTCCCTCCATTGTGTGTTTCATTTGTTACTGTAATTTTCAGGTCTTGTACCTTTGTTGAAGTCCTCTCTGAGATCATTAATACATTTCTAGAGATCAGTGAGCATATTTATGACTGTGGGTTTATTTTGAAATCTTTATCAAGAAGATTGATGATTTCCATTTCTTTTAGTCTTTTTTTCTGGTATACTGTCCTGTAGTTTAATTGGGGACATATTCCTCTGCCTCCTCATTTTGTCAGAGTTTCTGTGTTTCTTCCTTTGTATTAGCTGTAGCTGATAGACTTTCTGGTCTAGAGGGTAATGACTTAAAGAAAGTGTCCTGTGGTGCCCAGCAGCTCAATACTCTTTCCTCTCCAGTGCCTGGTTATCCTTTGCTGTAGAGCCCCCATCGTTGTGTTGGTGGGCAATGGGCGGCAGTGTTGGTGGGCAATGGGCAGGGTCTCCTTTTTGTCTTTCTGCAGTGGCTTGTCACAAAGTTTGCCTCAGCTGGCCCTTTGTGATCAGAGCAGGGTCTGCCCTGCAGCAGTGGTGGGGCTGTTAATGGAGTGGGTGGGGTCATTACATGGTGAGTTTTGCAATAGCAGGGTGCACAGGTTTGTGGTGGTGGTAGGTTGCCTGGTTGTGGAGTGCAGGGGCCTTCAGCAGTGGCAGTGAGCCATGTGGTGGGAAGCCCTAACAGCAGCTTTGGAGGCAGCTAGTTGTAGGGCAGAGACCCTGTCAGAGGGAGAGGTAGAATAAGGAGCCCTTAGGGCTGGCTCCTGTAGGTGCCTCTCCAGTTGGGCTGAAACAGGACCATGAAAGCTGGGAGGTTCTCCCTCTGCCTGTCAGGCAGCAAAGTTCAATGCTGCTCAGTTGAGTGGGCTGGCCCATCAGAGGGTCACAGGGAAGCGCCTTGGGGCTGAGCCACCAGTGAGAGGGCTGGAGCATCTGGGGCTCCTGAGTGCCCAACCTGTTGGGCTTAGGGAGGGCAGTGGAGGTTTCGTCCACCTGCTTTTTCTCCTGCAGAGATAGCTCTATCAAACCCTCAGTCATCTGGCTCCCCTCCCACTGCTGACAAGTCTTTCAAACTGCTGCCTTTGTGTTGAGTTGCAGCAGGATCAGAAAAGCTTGCCTGCCTTCCACAGGCAGCTGGTTTCTCAGCCTCCCAGAGTGCTACAACTATCCCTGGTGTCCAGTCTCACTAACCACCAGAACCCAAAGTAATGTGGACTCATTTTCTCGGAGCAGATCTCCAGGGCCAAGTGTGCAGAATTCCTGGGTGCCTATCCCATCACTTCTCTATTCCTCTCGCCTGTGGGCTGGGATGGGGGATGGGCTTGGGTCCTGCTGGATCTTGGTTCTGCCACTTTTCACTTTTCTGTGGTCTTCTCTTCTTCACCAGGTGAGGTGCTCTGTTCTGCAGTCTTCAGGTTGTTTTTGGGGTTAGTTGTATTTGCTGTAGTTGCTTTCTTGGTTGAGTGTGGGAGGACATTTCTGTCTTGCCTTCCTATTCCACCATCATGAATACCCCTCCTGAACATTTTCTAATTAAAACTGTTCTCTAGTTAAAAATGATTGTCCTTTATACAATCATTGGTTTCCTAGGATTCTTCCCATAAGGGTATTCCTAGAGCTAGATTATTCTAGTCCTGCAAAATGGTTAAAATGCACCTCTTCCCTTTGTCTTTTCTGCCATAACCTTTCATTTCCAAACCCAGTTTCTATAGAAGCCTCTGCCTAGGACTCCCATTCCCAATCCAACCGAGTCCCCTAGTTAAGCTCTTATCTCTAGTTTAATTGTCTGAAGTATATATACTGTGTAAATGTAATCACATCCAAAAGAGTTATATAACATTCTGAAAACTATGTTCTCTAGAATGCTGGTTTCCCTGAGATCACACATATATGGAGGGAGAATTTGGCTCCTGTAAGATACTATTCTGTCAGAGCCCCCCTTGCTTACTTCTGCCTTACCTTGTTTGGGTCATAATATTACTAAGGAAGGACACATATTTAGTTCAAGTTTGGATACATTTAATCAAATGTGACATGTGTTTTCTGTATTTAGAATAATACTTTGTGGACATAAAAAATAACTTTTTAGATAAACTTTTATTGTGAAATATAAAATATTTGGAAATGATTAAAAAATTTGTTACAGTGATAATTCAATAGTCTTTACAAGAGAAAGCACCATATTAAAAATTACATTCATAAGAAACAATCTAAAATGCACATGCTTGAGTGACTTCATAGTAATTACATTAGCAAATGGTGAAACTCAGAAACTCTAAAACCACAGATCTAAATCAGGGGTCTTCTTAAACTCAGATGTTTTCAGGGCTAGGTAGGACACACAAAGTTGTAAAGTAGTCTGATATGAGGGGGTTCAGAGGACTGTGGGAAACTGGGGGATGCATGCCCAAAGACTTTTTTTTAATTCAAAATAATTTGAAATATTATTTACACTGAATAAAAACAGCTGTGGGCCAAGTTGGCCTGTACTGACTGCCAGTTTACAGCACTGACTGAAATGAATTTCTAGCAGTTTATGTACCCAGTCCTCAAAATGGCAGACAGCACTTCTTTGAATATTGTGTGTGTGTGTGTGTGTGTGTGTGTGTGTGTGAGTCATTAGTCACTATTTTGAGGGAAGTGGATTAAATAAACTTTAAGAAAAGGTATTTTGCACTTTTATTTAATTGATTTAGGAAGTTGCTTGGATATCTTCTTAAAACATATGGTTAAAGATGTAATTTAAAAATACCTTTTTTCACTTTTTGGGAAAAATTCGTTATGTCTAAGAATTGAAATGAAATCTCTTGTACCAATAGAAAGTCATATCACAGTGTATTATTGCTTAGTAAGATATATTTATCTGAAAAGTATTTGCTTTACTAAAGACATTATTCAGAAAGTGTTCAATCATATCACCTCACTATTTATCTAAGAAAATACTTGTAATTCAATTGACAATAGGTTTTACTTTATCTTTAAAGGGTATTTTATTGAGGAACTTTAGTAGATTTTATACTTTCAGTTAAAAGTAAAGGTTCTAGTCTGAATATGCAAAATTGCTAGAGCTCAAATGGCTGTAACCATGTTGGTTTGTTAAACCAAAGCAGTTTTACAGAATTTACAATTTTGTATATCATCAATGACTCCACATTAATAATTTTAAACAGTTTTTAAAAATTAAGGTGAT